AGCCAGAGACATGCCAGGAGGTAGGCGCCACTCAATGTCATCCCACCAACCGTGAGGACTAAGTCGGACGACTTAGTTTTAATTGATATCATTTGGCATAACAAGTGAAAAGCGTGAAAGGCAATCCAGAAATATGTTTTGATTTGTCGCCTTTTATCGATCGGAATTAAAACATTGTTCTTCCGATCAACCGTAAGAAAGAGACAGTTGTAGAAGTCGGCAATTTCGAAGAACCGCCTGATACCAAGGAATGCTTGTGAAAACATTTTTTTTACACATTTCAAAGCTAAAATTAGTAGATGATAATTTTTATTAAATGGTCAGAAAATCCTTTTGTAGCATGTTTGCGAAAAATGTACAAGGCTTGGCAATATGGGGGACAAACCACACCCCCCGTATCCAACGAAATACCTCGTCTTTAAGGATTAAATATTTTAGGAAATTCTTGCATCAAGGGTATGGGTCGAATGAGGCTTTATGCTTGAGAATAATACTTCTCCACGTACTCAAATATTTGTGCCTCCCTTGGGGCAGCTTAAATTCAAGTTTCCTCTGCTATGGCATATTCAATAGATAAACATCCGGAACATGTAATCTTAAACTCACATTTGGTTATGCTGAGAATCTATATTATAATTTCGAAAAGTCAGTCCCGTCGAATTTTCGATACATTCCTGCATTCTGATTGGGTGTGGCCTTTCTGGATCCAACAATCCGGGAACAAGTACGAATTCTGATTACCGTAAGGATTGTGATTTAAAATTTCCTTAGCAACGTCGATAAAATCCCTTAGCAACATCAAAAAATTTCATCTGGCCCGTCTTTAGGACGGGCATATAGGCTAGTTATTACATATTTATGTCCTTAAATTAATGAGTAGTAAAATACCTATCTTGACAAAATTTAATTTAAGCCAATGATTGTGTAGTTGTTATTAGTGCTACACTTTATTCACTCACATAACTCACTTTATTTAATATGCGAATATTACGGAAATAACATTTTCGGTTAATAATTTATGCAATGTTCTCGCACCCATTGGTCAGCAGCAGGAAGAAGCCTGTTAAAGCTCAAATGTATTAATTCGTCGCTTTCGCCGGAAGCGTGATAGTTGTTGCCTTATACCTGACTTATGTAATTAAATAAGAGATAAACGCCGAACCACGTCATTATAACAATCCACTTTCGAACCATTGAAGTGGCATAAAGGATATGATTTACTTCAAATATATGAATTGTGATACAGCGAATCGCAATTTATTAACGATGATTCAAAATAGAGAATCATTCTAAATAGTTATTATAAATTTTGACAATTCCGCTCACAAATACCAATATTATGCTTGAATATATTTATCTGTAACAGGGCGGTAACCAAGTTTGAGTTGTCAACGTGAACACTACTTTCGATTCGAACAGGATGTATTGATTTTCTACATTTTAGGGTCCCTCATCTCAAAGGGTCAAACCTAAATTGTTGGATAAGAATATTAAAGCACATGTATCGGGAGGTTATCTTAGAATAACAACCCGCCGTCATATTAAGGCTTCATGGAAATATCTTTAAACAAACCTTTACAAACAACTGAACCAATGGGTGACACAAAATTATGCATGTATATGCAAGCCAAATATGCCTAAAAATATGTCTAAAACCGTTGAAACAAAAATTTCGACATGTAACACCATTGACCTTATTAACGTGGCGCCGTGACCTTGGTCAACCTTTAACCAAGTCTCACTCCGTTCACTCCGTTCGCGAGTTATCGAACCAACAGGCGGGCGGCGTAGGTCAAAAGGTCACGGCGGCACTTAATAAGGTCAATGGTGAATCATGTCGAAATTGTTGTTTCAAAAGTTTTAGATATATTTGGGGGCGGGGATTTCAAAAAGCGACATGCTTTTGACGTACGTCGACATGGTGACCGTGTCGACAACTCGATTTATCTTAGGATGTTGAAATAATCAAGATTGATGACAAATTCATAATTGGATAGTCGAGACTCGAGAACAATTCAAATTTTATTCAATTAGCTTCCAAATACATGCATAACTTTGTTTCACCCAACCCACACCTCGAGAGTTTCACTAGTTAGTACTACACACGTCGTACAACACGATCGTGGACAGTGCTCGGATCGATCATATTTTCGGTTGTTTATCATAATTCATAATAATGGAATCAATATCGTCTCCAATCAAAATTGTAACCAAGGCGGTTAAGTCATATATATTGACACGGGCGGTGTTGATTCGTTAAATTTTTTTTATAGTGTAGTATATTCGACAATGTATGCATATACATACATACGTTCACGGTTCTTACATAATCTTGTTACATAACTTACTTTTATTTTTGGAAGTTTTATCTTCTGTTGTTATCATTGACGTACTATCGAATTCGCTGCAGCTCATCCTTTTTGCTATGCCCAAACGTAAATGATGATGCTCAATATATCCAGTGCTGGGGAAGTGGGGTCATAATTCAACCCTAACCCCCACCCCATTCCAACCTCACCCCACCCCCACCCCACACAAATTCACAAAATAGAAGGGGCAACGTGAGATTTTTATTATGGTTTAAGAGGGTTGGGCAAATTTATTTTAGGTGTAAGAAAAAGGGCATCATACCTTATCTACCAAAAGGGGTGTGGTAAAAAAGCTGAATATTTTTTATTTTTTCGTATATGGAATTTCAATGTAGATCAGTTCTAAAAATCTATGTACCACGTCCACAGCACTCTTTCTGCACCAATTTGCGCGAAATTGTGGTATGGCAATTAACCCATAAAATTATTTGCAAAATATTTCCACCGCTAATTTTATATGCTTATGTATAATGGTCTGCATAAATAGAAACTAATGGAACAAAGTGCAAAATTTACCCAATATTGTCCACTATACTTTTATATTTTTAGAAATTATGTTCATTTTTCATCAAGGTAAATTTTACATCTTTAACGCAATAGCATATTCTAGTCAGTTATATCGATCCGAAGAAATGCCTTGCGGCGTTTAAAAATATTTCTAACCAAATTGAAATCTTTTTTCTAGGTTCTTTAGCAGGTGCGTAATTGGTGTCCTGCAAATTGTTAGTGTACATAATTATGTTTTGAGTAGGGAATCGTACATTGCAACACAAATATGTAAATGTTAATGATAAAAATTATTTACGCAACATAGAGAATTACAGAGCTTGGATTAATCGGGATTAAGGACTGGAGAACTTTTTATTTTAAAATTAATCCCTAATCCTTGATCCATCAATTCTTAGAAAATAACTAAGCCTTAATCCTTAGAAGGTTCAGATTTTTAATCCTTTAATCACGATCGGGATTACTTTTTGGGATTAACTTCTCCCATCTTGGGGTAAGGCGAATAACAGATTTTTGTCTACTGGTTTTCAGTAAAGACTGTACTCCTTGTACACATTGTCTTTAACATTTTCCAATATTTTTTTACATAGTAATATTTCGAAAATTGGTACGGTTTCAAAAAAGGAGTTGCGGTTTATATTTAATTGCTGATATTGAAAGCAAAAGGTCGGTGAAAAAGTATCCGGCAAAAATCAAGTCAACATAAGTTCAACACTTCTTATTGTTACCTCCTGTCCAAAAAGCGTTCAGCTACGACGTAATCACCATTAAGCTAGCCTATCCTACTAATTATTGAACCAGATTGTGTTAAAAGTTAGCTACTAGAAAGAATTAAATTTATTTTTACGTTGTCAGTAAAAATTGGTATTATTACTATCCATTTCAAAAATTGTAATCCTTAATCACGAAATTAATCAATCTTAATCCATTAATCGTGCTTTCCCATAAGAAAATTTAATCTCAAATTAATTCAATCTTGGTTTGAGCTTAATTCCAATCCCAAAATTTAATCCAGATTTTAGAAAAAGTAATCCTTAATCCTTAATCCAGTTAAATAAAATAGTTTAATTTCCAAGCTCTGGCGAATTCCCGTCTGCAGTTTATGTAACATTATAATCAATCATTTTAACTTTGCAAGGGATTTTTGCATGTCAACCTCACCAATCAATTACATGACCAACAAATTGTGTAATTTGTTATTTTTACACGTTAAGGCGCGTGTACAGGTGGGATAAATGTACCGGATAAATTTTTGTAATTCGATGGTAAATTACAAATTCGCAACTTTTATCTGTTCATTTTTGTGTAACATTATGTTATACAAAACATTATGTTATACCCTTAAACTCATCTGTACACGCACCTTTAACTTACATAATCACGATTATCCGGTTTGTAACGGCATAAGAGTTATGCTGAGGGGAGGAAGAACTTTGGGCGCTTTGATTTTTATTAGTTTACGCGCCATAGACATTTTATACGTTCGCAATTCAAACCCATAGATGTAGCAGGGTCTTATTGACGCTTTGTACAAAAATTTAATTTATATGTATTTTTATATAAGACGATTACGGGAATCGAAAATTTGACCGAAAAGTTTTGTATGTCCACCATCCAAGGGAGACATACAAAAAATAAACCAAATGTTAGTTGTTAAGGTGATTCGACGCGACGGTCATGAAATACCTTTCACATGTACCTATCTCCCAACTTGGCATCTGACATAAAATTTATTTAACAAAAACATTTAAAGATATGTGCAAATATTTCTTTTGCCTTAGCCTTTCCTTTTGTTTGCCACAAACGCTAGTCAAGTTTTACTAGCTCTGACTTCAAACAAAGATTTAAAGCGATTCAACTTTTTCTCGCAATTTAACCTACCTACCAACATACCTGATGAATTATATAAATCACTCCCATGTACAATTGACCCATCCCAGACTATCAGAATATATTGTAGATAACATATTGTTGACACTCGAATAAAAGATTACTTACATAAAAGATTACTTACATAACAGTTATTCTATATATAGGATCTGCTAATAAAACCGAGAAAACTGACCAATTGTTCCCCATACCAATTAAATCATCACTTAATAGTAGCAGGGAGGCTAACCAAAAATGTTGCTGGTCCTTGTTCTTAGCGTATTTTTACGCCTTGCAGTTGCATCAGGTACTTGAGAAATTTGTATGTAGTTGATCACCTGCCGCTTTAGTGATGCCCATAAATCTAAGCGGCTACTTGCATTGCCATTATTTTAATTTTTCTGCAACCCCCCATTTAGCCTGTAATACAAATAGCAACTAATTTTCTTATAATTATCAGATGCAGACTTGCAACTAATCCTTGATGGAGTTAACGAAATATATTGCAACGGATGCGTGCCTGGCGTGATGGTTGTTTTTGGCAACAATTCCTTCCCAATATTATCGGGCACCGATAATGGTCAGATGTTTCCTATCGCCGCCGCGTCTCGTTATGGAGCGGGTAGAGTCATAACGGCGTCACACGATAGCTTACTAAGTGTCCGACCAGGACTAGTCGATTCGGATAGATTCCTCATAAATTCCATAAATTGGGCATGTAATTGGACCTCGAGTGATGTAACTGGTCGAAAGGCTGCAGTTCTTCAAGGTAAGGTAATTATCTAAAAGTGTCCCTGTTTTGTTTATTGCGAATACTTTATGGCACCTAATAAAAAAAAAGTGCCGGACCACTAAATTTGCAATAACTTAGCGCCACCTGTCGACCCACTAACCTCAAAATGCCCCCAAAAATTCTGGGAATATGCCTTAATTTATTACAAGTGTACCACCCAAGTTCCCAAAAGTCACTCATCGTTGCCATTATTCTGTACATGTGGTGGGTTGGCCCCGAAACATTTAGAAAAGTTCATAAAGTAAATAAATAACTGCGTCAAATTGAGCTTTGACTAATATGTAAATTATCATCAGGATACTCTGGTGCCACCAATTTGAACAACTTCTTGAACAACTACACGCAGTACGACTCCCAAATTTTGCCATTCTCCAGTCTAAGTAACCTAGCCGTGTTGAAACAATTCAACGTCCTAATCATGCAAAACATGTGGCAATATACCCTAGAAGATAACCTCATCGATATTATAAAACAATATGTTAGTGAAGGTGGCTCCCTGGTGACAGCGATGACCTCTTGGATTGCAGATGTCAATTGGGACTTTTACGGAAACAGACTAACCCGTGACGCCGGAATGATTTGGTTGTCTCAATATGCATTCGCCACATCACCTAACGGCAACCTTAATACATCCACTGCCTTATTGGTTGACACGCATAGTGATCTTGTGATTCAAAACGTCCTTACTATTCTAACCAATCCGGAAGTCGAGTTCCCTGGAAGCCACAATCAACAAGGTGGGATAATCAAGAACACAATTCAACACCTCCCACATGATCGCATCGGCGAATTAGCAGCCTTAAAAAATGCCATATCCAACTTGACAGCCATTATTCCCAGTAAAGAAAATCCCGTGGCATGGACGCCGTACAATAAATTTCAGGTTGATACAGAATTTTCTATGTGGGCTTATGTTTTCGATCCTCAGGAAGTTACGGCACACCCGTCAAGCGCCATATTTCCTGGAGCGGTAAATTCAACTGAGAGAGTACAAACCGTGGCAGAAATTTCAATTCCATATCGACAATTTCGTACGGGACTTAAAATTCATGGAGAGGATGGCCCATGGGGCAAATTCGAGAAGCCTGAACCTAACCTTCAAGCAGTTGAGGGATACAGCTCTCACTGGTACAGTACGGGAAGTTATGCTCCTCCAGGCACCCTTGTAACAGTAGGGTTATCGGCGGCTTCAAATATATCGGCTTTCACGGTACGCATTGGTTGCCATAGGGATGACTTAAGCGATAAGACGGAATGGGTTAGGTACCCAATGATTGTAATGGTTAAAAGGTAACTTCTTATAAGGTTTGGTCATTAAAATGAGGAATTTGTTAAGGTGTTACTACAGAATCCATGTTTTGTTAATTTTTATGACTTTTATCAGAAGGGACGGCATTGAGTGATCGTGTTAGTGTTAAAAATTAACCAGAAAGTAGCAATGTCTGTCAATGACACTAAACTTTACAACTGCTTTCTTACCCACTGTTTGAGAACAATCGGAAATTTGAATTTTTTTTTCTAAAAAGTAACAAATTTGAATTTAGTTTGTGGATTAGTTTCTTCTCAAGAGTAAACTAAAAACCTTGTTAGCCATATGAACCGGCTAAGCTTTGTTAACCTTTTAAGTATTGTCAACTTAATAAATTTCGGTGGTAATGAACCAAATATTCCCGTTACTAACCTTGTAAATAGAAAGATCTCTCTGTGACGATTAAAATATATTTGCTGTAGAATTTCTGGTGCCTCAACTACTATATCGAGTCCTTTTGGTGGATTGATCTACATTTCAAACGTCGTCTCGGACGAGGCTATTCAAATTTTGAATGTAACCGTGACAGGGGGAGTAGTCAGCCCCTCGTTTTTCAAGGGGACAACGTCTGTTCAAGAGTGGAGAGACACTATTCGGTATATTTTATAGATCGAAATTTTGAAGAACGAGTTTTCCCGTAAACTGTGATATTTACATTCTCAAGAATTCTATTAATTAGAATGCAAAATTTCCCGTAGCTGAATTCTCTAATGCCATATTTTGTTCTATGATTTTATGCTACACCGTGTCCAACAAACACTAGTACATCACTACTATTTGCTCGAGTAATTCCAAAGACACCGTGCAAACATACAAAAACCGACAGCATGGAGTAGGAAGGCCTGTACAGGCCATTTTTCTTCTAAAGTATGTCTACAATATTTCTTAACGGTGACCTTGGAATTACTCACGCAAATGGTAGTGATGTATGTATGTATCGGTGGGGTGACTATCCTGCCATAGTTAGACCGGACCCTCAGCTGCGCAAGCACTAAGGACTTATTGCAGCCTCCCCGTATACACCGCTTTATTGTGCTGAGTTATGACTCCCACGACTTACAGATCTAACTTGACCTGCAAACCGCCCTGATCTGATTATAAATTGAATTAGATCGGGCAGAGACATAGTCACAATTTGCTCTGGTAGCACATCGTGCCTCCCAAATAGTTCTAACCTTAGGGCACAGTACTTGTCACAGGATCGAGGAAAATGTAATACAGTCTCAGGGCCTCGGCCGCATAGGCAAGTGGCCTCATCAACTAATCCCATTATTCCAAGATGGCTATTTAAAGTAGAATGCCCGGTTAAGGTTTGTATTGCTGATCGCAGATCATTCCAATTTGGAGTTAAAAGCTTACTGCTAAGCCCCGGTGTAGGGGCAGAGAGAAAAGCTTTAGAAGTTAAACAACCCTTGCTGCTTTCTGTGGGGAACGACTTTTCTTGTCATAGTGGGAGGTGGAATAGGCAAAAATTGTAATGCCCTCGCCGGGTTTCGATTACCGGACTTCCCGATTGCATGTCAGGTGTTCTTACCGTTACACTACGGAGGCATTGGCAATCCCTACCAACTCCAACCTCACTCACTACTCACTTCATATATTCTTTGTCTCACATTTCGGCTGTAGTAGTGATGTACAGGGTAAGGAAAACCACGGGGTTTTGCTATTGAAAACCCATACCCACGGGTTTCACCTGGGTTTTGCGGGTAGTCGGGGTAGTCGGGGTTTTGGGGGCGAACTGAGTCAATATCCCATGTATTCAAGATTTCTAAGCAGTGACAAGAATCTGATTTTTAAGTAATTTCACAAACAACAGTTTATTGATTGTATTTTAAGAGCTAATTAACTTTTAGAAGCGTCAACATTGTTCTGTTGTCATGTATTGTGCCCTTCAATAAATTTAAAAACCCCGACTGCCCCGACAACCCGTGGACATTGCTCATATTTGCTACCCCAAAACCCACCAAAACCCGCAAAAAGCCAATACCCCCAAAAACCCTAGGGTAGCATACCCTGGTGATGTACTTGTGTTGTTGGACACGGTTTAGCCTTAAAACCGTTTCGTCATGAACTGTAAAATCCACCGATTTTAAAGATGTACAAAATTATAACGTTTCATCAAATTATTTGATATCTCCTAATTTCCCGCTGATTTTAATGGACGCTAAATACTGCCACTGTGTTTTCCCCCGCTTATTGCCCATTATCTTGGGAAATTGGTTTAGCACTGGAAATCCTTATTTCACTTCGATAAATCAGCTATTTTTCATATTACTTCTATATTTTAGATACTTTGGTGCTCCTTGGTCAGAATTTGTCGGCGAACGTGTGGTCCTTTCCGTTCCAGCAGATGTCGCAAGAACTGTAGAAGATCCGTTTGAGCTCCTCGTATTTTGGGACGATGTCATCAATTCTATCTCTGACTTTGCTGGCGTAGTTCGTTCCGAGAATTACCAGCGATTCGTGTTCGACGCTGATATTGGGGGAGGCTATATGCATTCCGGATTTCCAATTATGGCACTTCTCGGATCGGCGGGAAATAGCGTCAATTTGACCATTCTGCGCCAAAATGTGGGCGATAACCGGGGTTTCTTTCATGAATTGGGGCACAACCATCAATGGCACGAGTGGACCTTTGAAGGCGGAAGTATGTACACTTGTCAAACAATTCAAGGTTGCTGGCGGCTGCATTCAGATAATTTGTTCAGGAACACAAATAAGCTGACCATTTTGCATTTTTCTGAATGCGCGATTTTAAACGCGTGGCAAAATTTTCAGGAAAAACCTAAGGTTTTCAAGACGCTGAAACTCTTTATATTTTCGCGCGATTAAGAAAAATCAAGAACATGTATCCTTAGAATTAGTTTATAATATAAACTTTATATTAACTGCAAACATTCATTTTTAAAAAAATTTTCAAAATCCAATTTTATCCAACTTTTGATTTTATAAATATGTAAACTCCCGACAAAACTCGAATTTGCAAAATTTTGTAAAGATAAATTTTTGCGTTGCAGAGGGACTAATTCTAAGCGTACGTGTTCTTGATTTTTTGAAATCGTGGGAAAATTCAAAAAGTTATAGCTTTTTGTAAACCTTAGATCTTGGCTGATAATTATTTTGACAATTACGCCACGCAGTCAAAATCGAGCATACAAGAAAATGTATTAAAAAATACGGCTATGCTGATTTTGGCTCCTGTATAAATTAACATTTTTGCCATCGAAATCTGAGTGTATCCGCTAACAAGCTTGCTTTGTAAGTTCAAATAAAATTTCAAAGAGTCGTTAAAAATTAAAAGCATATGTAAGGCTGAATTCCTTTTTGCCTGCGTTTTTGCAAGTTACTCGTGCTGTTTTTTTTTCAACCTGACGCCACCTAGCGGCATTACGTGTACATGCAGTATGCTATAGTTCCAAATGCAGAAATTTTAAAACTGCCAAAAAAGAACAGTATTTTGACTAAAGCAAACAAAGCACCAGCTCTCTGGCTGTACATATACATGAAACGAATACAAGGCTTTATTGCTGTGGAAACCAACAATTAAAAATCTTTCATAATCCAAAATTTAAACAGCGGAAGTCACCTGCAACATATTCTCGATGTACGTCATGAACCAATTCTTGGGTCACCCCATGCCAGACACTCGTCCCCACATCTTACTGCCTGAAAACCTTCGGAGGTACATAACTCAGTATATCTCCGAGGGAATTAACTACCCAAATTTTCAAAGGGACTACGACCGCGGTCTAATTTTCTATTACCAATTGGAACGAATTTTTGGATGGGCCGCTTACAAAGAGGTGTTCCAGAGGTATCGCGACCTGCCGGGGGTGAACTACCAAGGAACGATGATGAGAAGCGTGACACCTGGCTCATTATTTTTTCAACTGTGGTGCAACGCGATATTTCCGAATTGATGAAATCGTGGGGAATTCCGGTCTCCGCCGCGGCAGAGGATCAAGTTGCCCACCTGCCCGATTCCGGGTTTACGATTTACTCCTTGCTGGAGTAACCAAGCTGATATATGAATGAATGGGTGGCCTCAATATTTTTTTCGTGTAAACGACCAATTTTTTTATCCTTATCGGTTTCTCTGATTAGCTCTTGATAAGAATTACACATTTATTTTCCGTATGTGTTTCACCCTGACGCTACCTATTAATTTGAAATTATTTATGTAAGAGACCAGCTCGCTGGGGGGTTTTTTCAACTTATTACTCTTTTGCGTGCCCTCCCTCGAAAATATTGAGTCCCCCAAAGATATATATTTATCTGGCAATAATGTGAAATAAATTGAAATTACACAAATTTAAATTGAAATAACTTATCCTATTTCCGTTTGTGGACAAACAATAATTATGGATGATTATATAATTAATAATTGCAAACAATAAGGCAAGTTGTTATGTTGCAGATATTGGGTGGAGAATATTATCCTGCAAAACTGCAATAATCTGAGCAAGATTTGAATCGGTTTCAGTGATACATATTCTAGCTGGAATCCTTTTAAACCAACAATAGTCCTCGTGGCTACAGAAATTGTGCATGTCTTTACTGTCTTTACTAAATCTGATTGCCATTACGTTGTCTCTTAACATTCAAGAGGGACTTACCTGAGACAAAAGAATCACTAAATTTGGGGTTTTTAACTGTCCTAACCACATGGACGTGGCCATGGCGTGAATGCAAAGTTAGGCCAGCTTAATAATGCAAAATTAAACCCCGCTAAAAGATATTTCCCAAAATCTTTATTTGCTTTGCAATTCCAAACCACTCCTCAAATTTCAATTTTAAGTTACCTTTACGAAAATAAATACTCAACAGGTAATAGTTTGTAATCAATATGTTAAAAGCAAAAATCAGAAATGCACAGGACTTTTCCACAAATTTACACCGTTTCCGTCATCTAAGGACATTCCACAAATTGCCACAGTTGTGCAGGATCCCACTTATCTTAGCGAAGAGTTTGATGAAGCTCCAATCCGATGTGGTTGCTCCACCCTGAGTTCCACATTTCACGCAACAGTTAAGTTTTACTAATTTCTCACGCTTCAAAATAATCAACTTACCCCGAATATTTGAAACCGTTGCGTTCCGCCCTGTTGTAAATCTCGTGCCCGCCCTCGGACTCCTCTATCTTGACGTATGCCTCATTCGGCAAGGGGGCTTCCTTACTTTTTATTAATTGTATTTTACTACAAACTCAAGTAATTTCTGCGTAAATTGGCACCGCTTAAATTTCCAATTCATTTTCCTTATAAAACTTTGGGAAATAAATTTTCTAAACCCCACATAGATATTCCTAACATTCTCCATTTTTCCAAAATAAAAAATACTTGTCTACTTACGAAAATAAAGTGCGGCAAAGCACGATACATAAGTAGCGCAATAATGCTGAGAATGCTGAGAATGCTGCGAATTAGTTTGCGCTATAAAGCTCAAATTAATTAAATTAATTAATTACTGATTGATTGATTAATTAATTGACCACATTCTCTATACTTCCGAAAAAAAATGCCGAAATTAAGCCAAAACAATTTAATTTGACTGGATTTCATCCATAGATTAATTTGCGCTATAAATCTCATTTTGCCCCGATCACACTGCGACCGCACCCCCTGGCGCCGAGGGGGTGTGGTCCAAAAGTTTCCGGGATCCTCCCCCTGGGGTCATATGTATGATGCCGCAAACCGATTTCGATTATCTTGATGCATTCTCGAGTTATAGTGTTGACGGACAGACAGACAGACGGACGGACAGACGGACAGACTAACTAACCGATCGCATAAAGTAGCTTGCGCTACTTAATAAAAGGCTGTGAATACAATTCTGAATTAATCAAGCCGGTAAGAAAGATGCGCGAAAACTGAGCATCTCCTTCGCCGAGGACAGACTGAATAATGTGTCCGACGTAAGCTAAGCAGAAAGAAAAGTGACAATTATTAAAGGGCGAAACTCCTGTATGCATTGACTCTGTCTGTCTTTCCGTCCATCCGTCCGTCCGGGCGCGCTCTGACTTTCGAACGAGTACACCTTTTCGAGTCCAGTTGGCGCCAATCGACATGAATGGACAGGTTCAGTTCGTTAATTAGCCTTCTAGGTCAAAAGGTCACAGGGACAGATCAAGACTTTTTTCAACGGCGACCTCATCATATGGGGTGCAAACCGTCAACAATTTTTGAAGGGTTATTTAATGCCGTAGGTAATGGGACGGCGCCACTGTCGTACATATTATTTGAACGGACATAACAGAAATCGACGATCATTTTGACGGTCAAAATTTGACCGACGACAACGCCATGAGAGTGGCGATGATGCTAAAATCTAAAAATGTTGAAATTTTTGTTTCGACCGTTTTAGACATACTTTTGGACGAGAACTACTAAGATGGATATCACTTTGACCTGCACAAAGGCCATGACTGTAACTACATGGACAAGATCGACAATTGGACTGCGTGACCTAACACATGTCCTGGCCCATTTGTTATGTTCGGTCTTAAAACGGTTTATTTATTAGATACGTAGTGTCCATTGCACCTAAATTATACGGAAATCATTTTCCCTTCGTGAGTTACAGGGAAGAGAACCTGTAGCTCTTATCTCGTTAATACCAAATAGGTATAACTTGAGTGGCATAACAGAAAAAGCACAGCCATTTTTACGTTTGGCTTCAGTATCTGGTCAAAATTTATTATCCACCTACAGAAATAACCAAGTCGGAAAACTTACGACAAATCGGAGCAATCTGGAACGTGCGGCATGGAATGGACCTTGTTGCAGTTCTCCAGACTTGTACACGCTCAGGGCTATCTAAATCAAGGAAAAAATATCAATATACATATGCCCCGACTGGGGTAGTGCTATGCATAAATACTTCGTAAAAACAATTATTCGTTGAATTGGTTTTAAATATGCTTTACGTATGTATTGCAGCTCCAACAGAGCGGAAATCGAACCCAAGATATCCCAAATCCAGATCAGGCACTCTGCCGCAACAAAGTTGGATACGTTTATATTTGATTTAAATTCTTTCCGAAATGACTGTAAATTACATATTCTAAAAACTTTTACGACTTAACGAAACCCAAATCCTTACTCAGAGAACAACTACTTTCTAATAAGGCACTAACTCCACTTACGCTGCTATTAAATACGCTGACGATGGTGTAGCTGACACATTCAACAACATTATCTGGCGTCGGATATCCTGGAGTAAACGTGCACGAGGGGCAATCGTCACGGCAGTGGCTCCCCTCAGAGGCGGGCAGGAGGCACAAAATTATTGCGGCCAGACCGACATGGCCTACGATTTGGAGGAACATCTCAGAATTTGATCGCTAATAGCAGTCAACAAGTCGAAGTATTGAGAATTTCCGTGCGTTATATGCAATTCGTCGCGTTATCTAAATTTTTCCAACCAAATGTTGAAGCCCAATTATATATCTATGCTAACCATACTGGTAACGGTTTTCTATACCATGCACCCAGCAAATTTGAAAAAAAATATTTAGTGTCTCGGTGGCCCTCTCACACGTAAAGGTGAAAACGTAGACAAAGTTTCCAAAAATCGTTCGCGTATCATATCTCTATAATTGGAAACGCCTTCTAATGCTTTCGATGGCATCCTCGCATGTCGTAAGGATACCCCGTACGTGCCCATAAAATTCACGTTGGCGTGAGGGACTTAATACTGTATATTTCACATATGAATCAATACAATATCATGCAACATGAAAGTAAGTGGAGAAAAAATAGAAAAATTAATCAATTTGTATGTAGTTTTAAAGATGTAAGGAAGCCACAGCAATACTCTTACAAACATTATCTTGATAAAACATAAAGTTCAAAACTCGAAATGCCAACTTAAGTAACGTGAAATCAGTATCCTCACTTCGCAACAAGCTTCGTATTTGAAATTTGTCATTTACTACATGGCAGAATTTACTCTTATTTATTAATATTGTTACATATTATAAACAGCCGTGTTCACCATTAGTTAAGGCTACACATTGTATATCTGTTATGATTACATATAAAATTTATTACCATTATGTGTACAGAATACCAGAATGCATACCATGATAAATACCACACGATATAAGATTACCCAGAACGCCATTAAAGTCAAACCCTATTAGTGGCAACCCACCCCAAATAATTTCCAGTGTTAGTGTACACACCAGGAATTGTGTTAACTGAAATACATAAATAGCAACGTAGTTTTTATACGTAAATATAGTTTAAATTTCATCATTTAAAATCATTCAAAACCATAAGATCCACACCACCAGGAACATACCTCCACATCCTATTCCCCATGATACTAAGCCAGCCAAGAACCACTGAGTCCCTGATAGGCATACTAACGGGGCACCTACCCATTAATAAATATTATAAATTATTATTTTCTACTACATTAGCGCAACAGATATTGAAAGTAGAAAATGGCTAACTAACCTCCATCCCCTGTACAAGAATCTTTCCCATTCTCCCCTCCAGCACATAGAAAGGCTTGCTGATTAAGAATGAAGCCAGGTCCAAGACGAGTCGTTTGCAGTCTAGCCTGACACGTTGGACCATCCATTATTTGCAAGTCAACTTTACCCATAACCGTAGAATATGCACCGTTCAAGGTACTCGCTCCAAATCCTGAGACGTAACACCTAATTAACATACAAACGTAAATCCAAATAACAAATCATCACGTTGTTCAATGAAAATTTAATCATCACCTTTGTCCTACAAAAGATGTTCCCGCAGCTGGAAGGCAGATTGGCCGGATGTGTGGATTTGCGTTGAAATCGACCGAACTTGCCAACTTCAACACGGCCAGGTCATTTTGCAGGTTCGCAACCTGGTACTGCTCATGAATTCGGGTTGCAGTCACGGCAATTTCTATGGCGGCGTATGGCTCATTGACAGCGTTCAGGAGGTATTCTCCTAAACGAACTTTTAACGTGACTCTGTACAAGATTACAATTTTTACATTTGTGAACTGTGGTTTAGTTTACATGAATTATTAAATGTATCTTCACTAAACCTTAGTGGAGTGACTTTGTGTGCTACTGTTAACACTGTGTTTCCATCGATTAAAACCCCACCACCAATGAATGAGTTGTCAGTTCCGAGGATTACAACCATCCAAGGATATTCAGAAAATGATGCCTAATCAGTAATTATTGTTATTCAGCCGGAAACACAATATGCCGATCTAATCATAATAAATAAGTGTGTATAGGGTTTTGACATAGAAAGTAATAGGCGTTATTAGGTATATGTACGACAGACATTTTGAAACATCAACATGATAGTTTTCAATTATCAAGTAATTTTGTAAATCTAAGTTTAAATTAGCTAAATCCTCAACTTCCATGTATAGACTTTAAAATACTTTCGGTAAATAAATATTTAAAATCGACAGAAACAGAAAAAAACGTACTTGTCCAGCTCCTACAGTATAGGCCGGAAATGGAATCAATTGCTGTGTCCCGCACGTAGCTGGCGGTCGTGTCGTCGTGCTGATGAGATTACAGCAAAACCTGTTCGGTGGTACGCAGAGGGGAAGTGTGGGCTAGATATTTCAAAAATACGTAAATTAATTCACTCTTAACATCAATTGTAACTTGCAGATTGTTATGCATGTATACATTAACTAAAACCCTGGGATCAATTCCAGCACTACCATCAGCGCAGTTTGCGGCAGGGGTACACTGACATTGACCTGGATTGGCGATTGTTGGCACTGGAGTAACAATTACGAGCCCTACATAAATGTAAGATTAGCATTTATTTAGAACCTTATCAATTTTGTACATTGTTTATTAATCCCTTCAACTCCGAAAATTGTGGGATTAACCTACTATACGTACGTACCTTGCCCAACAACATGATAAACTTTATTCGCGAAACACAGGAAAATTACAATTACTGAATTTCCGAGCAATTTAAAACCTGACATAGTTATTTTTCATACACCTTTTCCTACAATCTGACAAAGAAAGACTGGTGTTCTTTAAATTATGTTTGTGCATTTAAGCAACAAAGCAGTTACGATGACTATGAGAATTACGTGGATAATATGTGCACAGTGAAGTGGCAGTTTTGAATTTAAGCTTTTTCACCTAATAACATTATTATGTAACTAGCCTACAAGCCCGTCTTTAAGACGGGCCCCAATGGTAATATTCGGTTTGACGTTAGATTTGGCCGCTTGTTTTATGTTGGAATCAGGCAGCAATAACGTTAGTTACACAATTCTAACGTTATTTCAAGATATCATAAATACAAACGTAAAAATAAAGTGTGAAAATAGTGTGGAAATTACATGAAAATCGCATAAATTTCGTTATTCCAACTTGATTCTAACGCGAGATTGAGCGGCCAAACCGAACATCAAATATGCATTAGAATGACATTATTTTATGTTAGTTCAACTTGGTTACAGCGTTACGTTACATTTGGGGTGGATTTTTAATTTTCTTCATTCAGTTGTAGAATTTTAATATTTTGGATAGACTGTGTAGACTGAATAGACTGAATAGACTGACATAATCAATAATTGCACCGAATATATTCGAATTATTACCGAATACATTTGAATAATTACCGAATACATTTGAATAATTACCGAATACATTCGAATAATTACCGAATATATTTGAATAATTACCGAATACATTCGAATAATTACCGAATACATTCGAATAATTACCGAATATATTCGAATAATTAAAGAATACATTCGAATAATTACCGAATACATTCGAATAATTACCGAATACATTCGAATAATTACCGCATAATATTACACGATCACTGATTAGCCAAACCAAAATACCTGCAACCAATCAGGATGCAGGGATGTCACGGAAAATTTCAACGGGACGGACTTTTCGAAATTATAATATAGATACAATTTTTATACAAAATAATTACAATTATATAAGCAATAAGTATACAATTGATGTTTATGTAATAGACATAAATTTTTTTCTTCGTACTCAGTACCCTCTTCCAATTTGTAGAAAGGTTATTATTTGATAATTCTTTACACTAACTTGTAATTTGCATCCACTTTGTAGTGTGCTTATTGAAAATTTTGTAATGAAAGTCATCGTGAGTATAAACATTGTCATGTATAGGTCACTAATTTAAACGTTATAAAAACATAAATTAAAGTGAAATGACCGGATGTCATAATCCTTGCAGCCGCAATCAGTTATTTAACATGATTTATATATAATTACTATTAATTTTTGTCCTTAGTATGGTCATTACATAGCACATTGTAAAATACGTAAAAGTGTTTGATATTGTTTCTACCTGTAAATGTCTAACCATAGTTAGACATGTACCTTGGTTGCATGCTATTCATTATCAGTCGGTCCACAAAAATATATAATTATTAATTATGTATATGAATCATAACCGATTGCAAATGAAAATGCATGAATAAGGATACTTATCACCATTGAATGTTAAGCTGATTTCATAATTTTTACTGCTACCGAGTAGACTAAATTCATACTTGGATCCATTAATAAGTAAAAGTTGGCTCTGGTATCATAAATACAAAACGAAAGCACTAGAAGAAGTAAAAAACGAATGGTTTCAATGACTAGATTTTTATTAACTAATGTTGTTTGCTCGACAAAAATATTACAATATTGAAATATTGAAAAGTATCCACGCCCAGTTCGCAATTCTTATTGTATCCCATTTACAGTTCATGTCCTTATCTAGCCCTCCAGTTATTATCAGAATCAGCCCGCGTTGCCCCAAAATGATAAGCTTGACGAGTTTTTGAGGAGCGCGAAACGTCTAAAACAAAGACAAACAACTGTAACTTCTAACACTAATGCTCACACTATGTACTTAAATAAACCACTTGATCTGAAATTTTTTTCTTACCATTAGTCACGTGACGGACCGCATTTCTGGGAAGAAGCCAAAGAGTGTAGTTAAAATTAGACCATGCCAAGTACCCTGGGTCGCGTTCCTTCGCTGTAAAAGTTCCTGCTGGGAACGCGTATTCCTCTCCGACCTGAAGAACAATATTAAGTTAATAGTACAAAATTGGTGACACTAATTTTATAGAATTTTAGAAAAAAAAATTCCACACTACATAGTCACCGTACACTTACAGAAGTCGGGTGATAATTATCACCAGATTTAGATGTATGCATATGACTCGACCGGATTCGTTATAAACGCCATCACCGTCGGTGATGATATTAGCACCAATTTGAATTAATTTGTCAACAGCGGTGGCTGATATATCACCAGTGGTGATGAACTTTATGAGTCATATATGTTGAAATATGGTGAGCACCATTACTCAATTTATGTGACTGGAGTAACATTTATTTTCCATTCTCTATAATTGCGAAAAAAATCATAAAATTCGCACCTCAAAAAAGTTCTTGATCTCTTGGTAGGACTTTCCTATGGATATAACGGTGATCAAGGTTTTCCCCAGATCCTGCGTCAGCGTTAGTCGCAGGTAGGGCGTGACCGACGCGCGGAGACATTTCTCTTCAACTTGGTAAACCCTAGCGGATATGGGAAACCTGAAAAATGTTATTATCCATTTTTACTTAATTCGAATTATATTTTTGTAAACTGAGAAATATATCAAGATGCTGCTATTTCTTAAATTGCAGTAATTAATGACGAAATTTATAAATTGGGTCATTTATTGATTTATATAAACATCATATACTATTGTATGTAATATATATAAAGACATACTTACCTCAGCAACCCGGGATTGCTAATTTCGTCAAACAGAATAGATTTTTGGGGTGCCATTCGTTTTCGAAATATGGTAAGAAACTTTGGGAAATTTTATTTAGCGAATCAATCCGACTCCGTCAAGTGGTGCAGGGAAACTGACCAGCCCAAAGTTTGCCGTGATCCCTTGAAGTCAAACCTTCACAAGGGTGTTTCCAAGAAGTGAAAGGTTGGGGGTTTACGTGCAAAGGAAATAATCACTATTTATAAAAATCCAGCATTGTTATGTCTGCGAATGTTGCAAAAGTGGGGACAATGAAATATGGTAGCACAAAAATATAAAAACATAAATACTATCATTTCGTCAATGGTGATATGTACCAGTATTTAACCAAGATTATAAATGCCAATTTAAAAAAAATTAGTTAATTGCACACATTGGTAAATCGCATTAGTGTGAAGTCGGCCTCTCCTTTCTTGTATTGATAGCCGAAAATAGCCGAAATTTGAACATACCGCTTGATAAATTCTCCTTATGGGCCATTGTGAGATTCACTCCCAATGGCTCCAAATCACTCCAAATTCAAACCTGCTGACCTTTACGCCAAAAACTGGGGCAATGTGACACTCGTCACATTGCCCCAGTTGTGACACTCGTCACATCTTTATTACACTCAATAAATATTATTAAACATGAACTCGGACTGTCAGTTATGGTATTATCAACAGAGACAAATCTGGGCAAAAATCAATATTATCTCAATGCAGAAAAACACTATTTATCCGACTAGCATTTTTCCTCGATATATCTGCACGGATTTATCAAACCAATTTTAACACGAACAACTAATCATTCCAACCAATTTGTATATCTCGGTCAGTCATGCACCACTCAAGTAACACAGAACAGAAGGTATAAATTTCACCATTATTCTATTCCCAATGCGTACAAAACTAAAATCTTCCAAGTAAGATTTCTCCACAACACAGGCTTGTCAAATATATCTCTAAATTTACTCCATTGCATGCCCTACAATATGCATATTTCCGATTTACATGCAGCATCCTAGTAACAAAGTACAACCTGGCTAAATTTCACCATTATTACGTGTAACCACTTACAAAACACGATCCACGTCTGCTCTTGCAATTACATATTGAATCGAAAAATCCTTTCCCATGTTTTAGCACATTATCAAACAGATTTTTTGCTAATCTAAATTTTTCCTGAACAAATGGCTAATCTGCAAAATCTGTCATGGTTTTTATAGTGACGAGATGCTTGCGACACAAATTCGCTTTTCTCCGAATCCAAATGTATTCCAACATTGTCACACATTCATAATATTCTTTCTGCTGTTTGAATATCTTCGCTACAGTATCTATTTTTGCGGTCGAAATGCCCTCGGATTGTAAATCTTTCACATTTAGCTGTTGACGCTGTGAATTAATCGGAGCCGTCATATGGCACGCTCCAACTTCCCATTATGAATCAATCCTAATGCAATTTTGTGTCCCAATTTGCAATTGCAAATTAATTTACTCTGGGTTGACAGTCAATTGTATTGGCTCCGAGTTGGTTGAGTTATTAAAGCAAACAAGTAGTAAGATAATTATTGGATTAGTAAAAAATATCAGCAAATAAAATATGATGAAAATGGAATCAATCAAATGCAATCAATAAAATGCAATCAATTTTAATTTATTTTTTATATATTTTTTTATATATTTTTTATAATATAATTTTTGTAATTTTATACAACTAAAAGAATGTAGACAAGTTTTACTGTGTTAGTAGGTTGCTGCATGTAAATCGGAAATTTGCATATTGTAGGGCATGCCATTGAGCAAATTTAGAGATATATTTGATAAGCCTGTGCGGCTGCATTGTGGAGAAATCTCAATCGGAAGAATAGTGTTTTGTAAGTGGTTATATGTAGTAATGGTGAAATTTATACTTGTTTGAGTGGTGCATGACTGACCGAGATATAGCAATTGGTTGGAATGATTAGTAATTCGTGTTAAAATTGGTTTGATAAATCCCTGCAGATATATCGAGGAAAAATGCTAGTCGGATCAATACTGTTTTTTCTGCAGAGAGGTAATATTGATTTTTGCGCAGGCTTGTCCATGTTGATAATACCATAACTGCTGACAGTACGACTTCATGTTTAATAATGTTTCTTAGTGTAATAAAGCTAGACATAATTATTGAAAAAATGTATATGTGCATACGTATGTACATATGTATACGTATGTGTATGTACATGTACTCTATGTGTACATGTACATACGTACTTACGTACATACGTACATATGTACTCTATGTGTATGTACATATCTGATATGAATATGTAAATGGGCAAATGTAAATGAAAATGGAATCAGTAAATGAAAATGTAAATGTAATCCTGGCTTCGCAAGGATGAAATTAGCTTTATTTCTCCCGCAAATTACATTTCCAGTCATGGTTATAATTGATAAGCATAATAATAAATAAATTAAGACGAGTGTCGCATTGCCCCAGTTTTTGGCGTAAAGGTCAGCAGATTTGAATTTGGAGTGATTTGGAGCCATTGGGAGCGAATCTCACAATGTCTCATAAGGAGAATTTATCGAGCGGTATGTTCAAATTTCGGCTATTTGCGGCTATCAATAAAAAAAAGGAGGAGCCAACTTCACACTAATCAATTTATTGACATCAGAATTTTTTTAAAAGAAATATGGGTTTGTCAGTATGGATACACGCCGTGTATTACACGGGTATATGTTTTTAAACGCATACGTTTTGATAATTTACAAATGCCATTATTCCATTAAAGTTCTGCAATAAGTATGGAGCACTGAACAAAATTATTTCACACTTTATCACTCTATGGCGATACAAAATTTCCCTAGATACTTAAAGTCAAGTAATCGTGTAACTGTTCAATTGCTGATTCAATGGCAGTCAAGGGAACTGAGTATGCAAAGTAATTATTATTATTCTCTTGAGAAATGTGCGTATCACAGAGTTCATATGAATATCAATTTGTACATAGAAAATATCGAAAATCTGAACACATAGGAGTCGTACATTAAAAGTCCTAACCTTACAAAAAATCCGAAGAACCTTTTCGAACCTTATGCCCATGAAAAGTGGTCGTCAAAATTGTTTTTATGGAATTTGAGAAGTCCAACGACTGGAGATTATTAGGGTGTTCTTCTGATAATCAAGCCAAATTTTAGGACCTCTGACCCCAGTCATTGCAAAGATATTCCAAGAATACTGAAAAAAGTTGTAAAAAATCATCGGATTTTCCGTGTTTGGAGACGTATTTCCGAAAACGCTCGCATTTTGCGCAGGATTCCTCTCATCGTATCTTTGCCCATACATAACTTGCATAACTCGGAAAAAACTTCTGCGAAAACATTAAGCGTTTTTTTGAAAATCGCCCTCAAGGATTAAGAAATGGACGAAGCTAAAGTCTCACGTAGCCCCATGTATGGGGTATCGTTGGAAAGGCGACGGCGAGTGGATTTAAAATATATATACTTTGTGGGGTCTGGGACCACCCCCGAGAGATGAATGAAGGTTCTGAGTTTTCAGTCTCCAACTCGCCAGAATTTAACACGGCGTTATATTGCGAGTTTACGTTGCAGTGCAAATGACCAAACTGCAATAATTCTCGCGAGTTGGAGAGTGAAAACTCAAAACCTTCATTCATCTCTAACTCCTCGGGGGGTGGTCCCAGACCCCAAAAAGTATATATATTTGGAATCCACTAGCCGTCACCTTTCCAACGATACCCCATTCAACGGGGCTACGTGAGACTTTAGCTTCGTCCATTTTTTCATTTTTGAGGGTGATTTTCAAAAAACGCTTAATGTTTGCGCAGAAGTTTTTTCCGAATTATGAAAGTTTTGTGGGCACTGCAAAGATACGATGAGAAATCCTGCGCAAAATGCGAGCGTTTTCGGAAATACGTCACCTAACACGGCAAATCCGTCGATTTTTTACAACCTTTTTCAGTATTCTTCGAATATCTTTGCAATGACTGGGGTCAGAGGTCCAAAAATTTTGCTAGATTATCAGAAGAACCCTAATAATCTCCAGTCGTTGGAATTTTCCAACTCCGTCAAAACAATTTTGACGACAACACCCTCAATACCCCTACAGGCACACCCCCTTACATTCTTTTCAAGCTAATTTGACCGGACACCTGGGACATAGTGGGACTCGAAATAAGCCAAACCAGAATTTTGTCGCATTTTTATTGAATTGGACACATTGTGCATACGTCGTCCAGAATCCTCAGAAAACTCCAGGAAACGAATTTTTTAATGAAAAATAACCTTCTAGTCCACAAAGTCAAATGCACAGCAAAATTTCCTAAGAAATTCATAATTTATTGTAGGTGTGTTAACGTTGTGTGCTTATGGGAGTTTGGTACTCGAGGAGGAAAATCCCTCAAATTTCCCTACAAATTTCAATCTAAAGATTTTAGCCTAATTGCGACGACAGATATCGAGAACTACCAAAAAGCACCAGATACTTTGGTTTTGGAAAATTTTGGTTTCAATGGAAGAAAATCAGCGATGAAGTTGCCAGGTCTTCCGATAAATCACTTTTGGCGGACGTCAAGAACAAGGTGAAATACGAAATGGTCAATGGACTAAACTCTAATTTGTTTACGAAAACATAAAATTAGGTCCCTTGGCTACATTCTAGCAAAGATTCAAATTTTTTGTATAATTTTTTCCCTACTTTCAGGACGAGAAACCAAGTATCTCAGTTCCCATAATGGCCAGTATATGTAAGTTATGGGTAAGAAGGTATAAATTATGTTTTAGAGTTTGTCCCACAATGTTTATGGCTATCACTTCATTTCAATGTGTTGCTTTCTTCTTGTTTATAAACATCTGCTTTGCTTTTTCTATGTAGATATGAACAAACATATTATGGACATGGGTAATACCCACATGTAAATTTATGTACATAAATGCATACATAAATAAATATTCATTAATATTTTTCATTGGGAGTGAAAGTGTTGTTCATTTCATTTGTATATACATTCTTTATTCCGAGTATTTTCTATCTTGTATAAAATTATTAAATAAATTATGATAGATAAATATGTTAGATAAATTATAGACATAAATTAAAATGAGTACGAGTATTAATATTATGTACTTAGTTGCAATTCATTAAAAATAGATAAATATTTGTCAAAATTCGCCACATATTTCTTGAAAAGTCCCAATCTACAATTCTTACACAGATTTAAGAGTGTTTTCTCTTATAACTAAATTCTCAAGTTAATGCCAAAAAAACACGCTATAAAAAATTCAAAGGTCCCAAGTTGTAAAGTTGCATGAAAAATTTTCATTTGAGCGGCGCGGGGCGCCATCTCTGTGCACTCGGCCTACTATAGCTCAACCAAGAGCTGCAAAAGGGAGCGTGGTCCCTTTTGTATACTTTTGTAATACTTTACATATATTTAATATTACACAACATGATAATGTTGATGTTACCTTGGGTGTTTTAACGTCCCACTCAATATTTGTCTTATCAACTGAAAATAAATAATCACACGTTTACACAACCTATGTAACAGTGTTCCGTACAAACTGATTTATAATTGAGAAATTTTCTGGGGAAAAATCATGAAAAACCTGAGTTACGTCGTCGTCAAATTTTTGTCAAACCAAGCCCAATTTGCAGCCAAAATTAAAAACTACACTTGTAGCAGAGAACTATTACAACTCGGGAATCATAATATTCATAGTGCACTGAAATGGTTGTTTGCTTGAAGGTCTATGTACATACGTAGCACTTGCACTTCATTTCATAAATTGAACATTCACCGTGCTTGCTTACGCTTGTATGTTCTGATAACGTTTATCTCACTGATATCCAAAACTAGGAAAAACCAGGTTGGAATCGGGTGCAAAAACAGGTGTTGAATCAACAATGTTCAGTTAAACAGCGTACATAAAATACAGATTACGAAAGAATTGAGAGTAGTATATTATCCAATCTGGGAGATTCAAATATCACAAAATATTTATAAAAAAATGCCGTCTTCAAAGAATATCTGCAAAGTCATACTTCCAACTATTCTCCTTCTCACCGGATGCGCAGGATTTATCCAAGAGCTCACCCTCTACCATGGGCTTGACTGCACGGGGGCCTCGGTTACGTTTCAAACTAAGGAGCAAAACTTAGCAAATTGGGATTTGTTTCTTAGCGACGCACAATCGTTCCAGGCTTTGGGATGGTGTGTGGCAAACCATATTATTAAGGGGATTCCTCATAATATTTATTAAGGGGGGGGGGAGAATGTAATTATGTGGGCGCAAAAGTCATTAGTGTCTTATGTCAACATTTTAGTGGGTAAAGTAGGCATAGATTTAAGGGGGTTGAAAATAATATGCTCTACTTCTCAAGTATTTTAAAAATCATAACCAAAATTTGCATAATTTAAATATTCAAAACCAATTAAAATATTTATGTATATTTCCAGGTGGTGGTTTTTCACGGGAACAGGTTTTGCTCCCTATCTAACCAACTCAGGCTACAGGTCTACCCCGTATTGTGCAAATAGCTCGTACATATATGCCTCACAATCCCTAAGATTTGCAGGACCTCTAGAAACTGCCACACCAGCATTGGCTGTTTACGAATCTTGGTATTCATCAGGGGCTGGAAGAGAAGTTATTTTTACTACTGGGGCCGCAAACAATTTTGGATTTATCGCTCGGTCCGCAATTGCATCCGGCACTTCAAGCTGGACTTTATACTATAATGAAAATTTCACCGGAAATACTACCTGTCTTTCTTCCGGCGGCGAGCTTGTTATTACGTCAGCAACCTTTGGATCGGCAATTATGGGGTGTAACTGAAAATAAAAGGTCAGTAATGAAACCGACGGTTTCAAACCGTTATGGGGAAGGAACCCAGTCTTTTTCAGGTTAATTAATTAATTATGTATATTCTTTAATATTAATATTTACCCTTGTAAACATTTTTAATCGAAATTCAATGCCAAAGTAATATTAAATTTTAGAAGGTGTTGGAAAACTCAGCATGTGAAAAATTAAGGGAAATAAATAAATAAATCGAAAAAGTATGACGTTGCATGCTTGCATTATGTAAAATTTTGAAATACACATAATCAATTCTAACAGTTCTGATGGATTCACGTGGATAATACATATTTAAATAATCGCGCCGTGCATAATTAATATTATATTTAATAGGAGCCATACAAATAGTACTGAGACAATTTGGTATCGGTAAAAGATTAGAATTTTTGGCGGGAAATGGTCAAACTCATTTTTCTCATTCAAATAAGAAACATTCTAAATATATAATCGGCGATTATATATTTCGAAAAAAAATCGCTTTGCGATTAACAATCGCAAAGCGATTTTTTTCCTCGATCCTACGATTTCGACGTATTTATGATACCTTAAAGTTTACGAGATTTTTTGCTTAAGTATAATTCGTAATAAAAATCGAGCCGGACTCCACCAGTTTTCGAGATATATTTACCCATATACGTTATAGGTACATAAGTATATTGCGTGATCTCATAGCGTGACTTGGTTAGCCAAGTCTTTTAAGAGGATTACACATCATAAATATTCATTTAAGCAACACTTGAACCACATTAATCGAATATGTTGTGTAAAGTATTTTTCTAAAAAATTAATACTGCAGCGCAAATTTCGGGCGCATGAATCATAATACACATCTATGTACGTATCGGCTGGGTGCATTACATACTTTTTCCCAAAACTCCCCTCAGCAAAATCACGTTTTAAATACATAATGTACTTATGGATAGTCCCTTGGAGGAAGTTTGCTGGCAGTGCCGTGACCTCCTTGCCAGTGAGGTGGTTAATATACATTCACAGTTATCTATTCACCTGGTAGTTAGTTGGTTACACAACACCTCGTCGACATTTTGCAGTATACGTGTTTTGCGGTATAAATACGTGGCCTCCTTTTTGTGCGCTCTGTAATATCAACAAATCTGAAGTCTGATTTGATATATTTAAATTACCCTAAAGTCTGTACATGTTTAGTTAGTTACAGGCATAACCCAGCGCAATATTTCAATAGTAACCAGATAAACAATTGTTTCCTATATCCAAATAGATGCAGCAATGACCTCATGGAACCCTAAGTGCCCAATGCATGCCATGTGGCCCAGACTTGTACCATTTTGTCCAACCTGACGTGGTCTTTCTAAACGCATGCGCCATCCATGGTTTGTGCATTAAAACGGTGCCAATTTGTGCTAATTGTGAGTCTCATCTTATTTACGACCTGAACATCCTGGGGGTGGTGTCGAATTAGAAAAATCTGTGAAAACATATTTCCCCCCCCCCAACAGGGTGCACTTTTCACAAAATAGTTGGAATTTTGAAACCCGATCTGCTGCTGACTGATGAGTTACGCGTCGGCCAACTCAATAAATAAATTTGCTTCAAAGGCATACTTGGCTATTTAGCCATTGTGTAAGAAGCTCTATCCCCCAAAAATGTTGGTTCTCCACCGAACACTTTCTATAATTGGTACCCTCTCCAATCTCTAATTCCACTGTAATTGCTCCCCCTTTTGGCGAGTTATCTATCCCGGTGCGGATGTCACTTTCTTATTCACTCCAGAATGTTCAAAATTATTGAACGTGGATTCTGACTACCCATATTTTTCCAGTATCACCAAAAATACGCAATATATCCCTCTCAAACTTGTACAACTTTGTCACCAGGAAAAAACCTTAAATGGCACTTATCCCTTGAAGAAATTTGGTCATCGTAACCTAAGCAAGTCGTCAAGACCTCGCGCCATTTTTCTCCGACTCGATTCCACCGATGGGATTCAGCAATCCTTAAAATGCGAGTACTTGGTTTATCTCGCAGAGAATGAATTTCGTCAAGAATACATTTTCGGGGATATTGCCCAACCCCAAAATTCCCCTTGTCTTTCAAACGCCGCCCTTATGCTAAGTTCCGCCAAGCTAATTTTATTTTCACAAAAAAATTTCACTTTTTCCATACCATGTTTAACATGTGATGCCATCATTTTTTCTCAACTTGAAACTATTATCTCGTTGCCAGCCGTTCGACAAGCTTGGGACACCTTAAACTCGAACATGCACAAATATCTGGTAATGATAAAGTCTTCAGTAAAGGCAACTTGTGGCTTAAACCATAAGGGATTTTCCAACCTGAACACTACCAACTTTTGTCCGGTAGCTGTAGTTGCGGAAAAGTATAATTTAACCTTAATCAAGTATCATCCACCAAGTAAGAAAGTATCTGTAAACCCCAGGAAATCTTTTGGCATTGTTTTATATGCAAAAATTAGTAACATTACGCCAACGGATTACATTTATGAGGTTGGTTTCAAGTCTACCAACTTCATAAGTGTGTCCAACCCACCCTTCCATGCCAGCGGGGTGGACACTTTCGTTACCCCGTTCGACATAGAAACTTGGACTTTCCTTCTACTCACGGCAATCTCAGCGGCTGGAATTCCAACCGCCGCCTCGCCAGACATCTCGTCAACAACATTCCATGTAGCGGATAAATTCCTCGCAGTCACGTGCATTCTTCTCGGCCAAGTGGGAGAAAGTGGGGGTAGGTCGTACCGTACTGTAAAAGCGGGCTTGGTCCTTGTCACTTTATGGTTATTGGGGAATCTCGTACTTATGGGAAATTTATACCAGGGATCAATATATTCCTGTCTTGCGGTCCCAATTCCATCCCTTGTCCCGTCCGGTGTGGAAGATCTCGTCAATTGGGACGTTCAGCCAGTAGCGGTCGATACCAGTGATCAGCTCGGAAACGAATCCTACCTCTTGAATCAGATTATTCCGGAATTAATATCGACAAGTGGACGGAATCCAAGGTTTAACAAATTCCTAAAGAAATTTCAATCCAAAATTTCACCCGGAACGAATGAAACTGTTCAAAGAATTAATAAAATTCTTATCGAAACTTCATCTCGAAGATATCCTCCAATTGTTCTAATGATGTCGGAAGACCTGCAAAATAGGTTGTTAAGAATTATCAGAATTATGGGCAATCGTAGAATTACCAGGAATATGGGTGACACCCCGTTCAGGACATTAGAGTTTCAAATCGGATATAAGAGTTTACTGTCGGGTTACTTTGCAAAAGAATGGCTACGGTTGCGTGAAGCTGGGTTAACTCAAAAATGGGACAGTGTACTCTGGATTAGTTTTTGCTTGCGTTCTATGAAGATTAAGTTTGAAAAAGGAAAATACTTTGAGGCTGTACAAAACTCGTTTGGAAGTCCGAGAATGTTTGTACAGTTTCATGAGGCTACGCAAGTTTCTGTACAACTAATCCATCCGGTTTTTAGCATATGTGGAATCATGATCGGACTTGGAGTTGTGGTGATAATAATGGAAAAGTGGGCAAAAGTACATTTGTTAAACGTCCAGTGATTCGACTTTATGTAGATGCACCCTGCTCCAAGGGTGTAGCAAATGCTGAGGTCATAAGTCGCGAGAGAGGGAGAGAGAGAGCATCACAATTAAATTGGTTTTAGCTAATCAGCATGAAGAAAGTATAGAGTTCCAACCTCAATTGAACACAAATTCAGTAACCCAGTTTAAATGCATAAGTTTTTGCTTATAATCCTGCCTCATGGCAAGGCACTCCCCCAGAACTTTGACCCCAAAAAAGTCAGTGTCCCCGCGGTTTGTACCCGCCGAGAAAATTATGAAAATATAGCTCGCGACAAGGAGAATAATCTGGCATTGATCTCGACCAATACAAACTGCGGGGACAATGACTTTTCTTAACTTATGTGCATATGGGTACACCCTTAAATTTTCGAATTTTGTCACTATTGAGGTGTCAAATTGTTCCTAATGGTAAGCACACCCTAAAAACGGATAGGAACCCCTATCTAGGACTATCCGTATTAGGTGTACAACGTTATTTGCATTTTCCCCAGTTTTCTTATTTCAACTTTACAGTGGGGGTGGTTGAACAGAAGCAAAAAAAATAGCAAATTGTCGGCCACAACGTATGTGGGTTCATTTGTTTAAAAAATTCCACATTCTGTGACATGAGTGCGACGGCGACCTGACCGAGTTCGTGCAGGGTGCATCTGTATGTACGTGTGTAACTACCATTTAACCGCAAGGATGTCGTTGCTTGCACCCACTCTTACCCTGAATACACCCAAACGTGCAACAAACTGATTCCCGCCGTTATATTATTTAAATAGGGTACGTGGTTAGATGGGGGTTTTTTGTTGCGTTTCTTTGTAATGAAAGAAAGATGTAGCAAACCCACAGGAAACGAAACACTGTAAACGTCATGTTCCTGGGATGTAGTTTAATCAGATAATTATGTATCTGTGTAATTTTAAACAATGATATCCTTGCTACTCGTAAAACAGTAAAACAGTCGGATAAGAAACGTAACGTATGAACCTGCACTGCGGCTCCTAAGATTTTATTTGCAGTGTATGATCTACTTATGTATTTACTTACCTCGAGTTTTGCAACGGCAGAAATATTTTGATGGACAGAAAGTAGATTTTGCACTTTAAATTTTTTTACCCAAATAACTACGTAAGCAATGTCAAGCATGCAAAGTTATATAACTGACTGATCTGTATTTTTTCCATTACATACATGTGTTCAGTGTCGACATATACCATTACGTACACTCAATTTGCTTTATACGGAGGTATATTTGTATGCAGCCATCCAATAGCAAAAGCAACGGACAAGCATGTACGTACATGGAATGTTGTAAGACTGCATATGAATATATGAGTAATTCATGCTTGCATGCTAACTAAACTTTATTATTTATAGAGAAGCCAAGCCATTATATATTGTAAAGTAATACCAAATCGTGGACTTCTTTACCATGCATCATCTTTGAAGACTTTTAACAACTCTTGATGGACATATATTCCTAGATATTTAAAACAAGAATTGCACACCAAAATGAATAAAATTTGCTTATTACGGTCACACTAATAAATATATCTCTGTATGATCTCGCTTGCTTTCAGGAAGTTAACGCAGTAATAACTCTGTTTCTTGCAAAGTATCCAACAGTGTCTTGGAACGTAAATTTTTCAAAGGCCAAAGAAAAATATGATTTTGACTTTATGGGAAAAGTACATCGTAAAAGGTAACAACCATATTTTGTAGATCAAGAATATTTTACAAAATTGAAAATTGGGGGACCTCAGACACACGAAAAAATCGTCGCTTAAAACTTCGCTTCGTTTTTCGCTTACCTCCTGATAAGCGAGCTCTGGGGCAAGCGAACAGAAACTCAACTCAGAATTGGGGTTAGGGTCGGTTAGCTACAATCGGAACAAAATTTTGAAATTTTCATAATTTTGGCCATGTTATCGATAAGCGAAAAATGAAGCGAAATTCTAAGCGACGATTTTTTCGTGTGTCTGAGGTCCCCCATTATATTTAGTGATCCTTGAAACATTTTCTACTACATTAATGTGCCAGGGAGTGAAACATATTCCATCATCTTAACCTCACGTGATTCTCTGAATCTAAAAACCTCAGTTTTTGTTTTCCTATATACGAATCTTCAATTGTGGAAAGAAACCCGAAACAAATACCTTCACAATATTGGCGAATACCTTCAACGAATATGGGGAAGCTGACAATTTGCGAATCACAACAACTTTGCTGATCAGTAGACTTCAGTGGCCGCGGAAGATGATTTTTACCGTGGGGACACACTTGTCGAAACAAAAATTCGAAAAAAGTGCAATAAAGTAACTTAAGCCAGAAAACAAGTTTATTATTGCATCGCATTTGTGTCCTGGTTGATCTTCCCAAAGTGCAAAAACTTCTCTCCAAGGTTACTGACGAAGTTGGAACAAGCGAAATTAAAGAACTCACAATCAGTGACTTCTCGTTTCGGATAAAACTTCATTAAACTTGATCGGAAACTTGGTTGTAGAGAATTGTCTGGCGAAGTATACTTCGCCAGACAATTCTCTACTTTGCTAGCTATTATCTATAGATAATAGATAATAGCAAATTATACTTGTTTCAACAAGTTCAAATTCTTCACGAATGACACAAAAAGTGTCATTCGTGAAGAATTTGAAGTTCTCAATTAATAAAAGTATTCATTCTAGTTTTTCTTAGCGCAGAATTACATGCTGCTATAATCTTCTATTCATTTTCCAGATGACTAAATTTAATATATCCAGTGCGTTTTTTCGTTCACCGAATATTGGAAATTTAAATTTCGACTCCATCGATGGGAAATCTTGGTCATTTTGGGCTATTACTGACGCCGTGAACCTGGTGGACTGTACTATCTGAAACTTAATAAAAACCATTTTTGGGTTTTTGGGATATGTAAACTGGCGAAGCTCATAAAATTTGTGTGGTGAGGGGGTTCGCAAAATACGATTCGCAAATCTAAAACATCTTTCTAAAAATACCTACTTTGGTGTTGTTTCCGCGAATTTCTATAAATGCTCATGCTGGTGTTGGTGAGCGTGAGTTTGCGAACTAATTTTGCTAAATAAGAACATGCCCAATTGCAGGGAAAACTTGCGAAAAAAAGATCCCACGGTTTTCAAGCGAACGTTTTCCGAAATCTCGAGTAACGTTCCTATGCTCAATTTGCGAGACATGTGAATGTCGAGTTGAGCATGCTCACAATGCGATGGTCACCATCGGATGGTGTGCATTGTAACACTCCGAATTGGTTGAAATTTTAAAACTAATTGTAAGTGGCCAAGGTCAATACAACCAACGTTTCTTTAGACAGTTTGTGCACTAGTGGGATTTACAAAATTTTTGAGGTCAAAGTTCAAACAACGGGCGATTTTTACAAAGCTAAGGAAGCTAAATCCATTTCCATTCCGATCAAAGGGACACAGTCATTTTTCAACGGTAACCTAAAATATTTTGACAAATCCCAACCATCTACGCATGCATGGCTATGTGTAACAGGAGATGAACAATCAACATACACATTGAAAAATTGTCAAATTATAGTGTTATTTTTACTTCTAGAATCAACGTTTTTATACGTATATCGAGTTCAGCCCGTCGAGACCGTGGGGACAAATGCATTGGCTGTCCCCACGTCATTATTTTCGTGGGGACATTGTCCCTATGTCCCCACGCTTCCGCGGCCACTGGTAGACTTACGGATGAAAATTTGGACAGGAAAAAACAAACTGTGTGGGAAGTGTGGAGCGTGATCTTAGAAAAACATCTATACCAATTGGAAAATATTAAAATCGGTTTAACATTGCCATACTCCGATTTCCTCCTCGGTCAAAAATTATTCCAAAGGTTAACCACAAAAGAAATACGAGATCTCCTTCGAAATGCAGCTTTCTACGACGACCTCTTTGGGATTCACAAAATGTTAATTTTTTTAATACATCATTCACAGGACTTTTGTTTTTGTTCTTTTTTGTCGGTACCGTTCGAAGAAATTGTCGGTTTTCGTTGCACCAAGCATTTATCAATCATGCTCCAACTTATTGCTGGTAGCTCAATCTCATTTATGTTTATATCTGCGATTGTCATCCGTTTGGCTCCACGCGATGATTCGTTGCAAGGTGTCCATCTAATTTTCGTCTTGTCGTGCAGTCCCGTAGAAGGGTCGCGTGCATAAACTTTTTTAAAATACATAGCAGAGTCACAAACATCCCACCTCTTGTCACGGATATCATTCAGTAGCATTGACATATCCGAGGGTGAGAAAAAGTTTGTCCTCTCGGCTACCCTTAAATGGACTTCATTTGCACCTCCTGGTGTATCGGAGATGTCCATCCTTACGGTTTCCTTTAGTCTCAAGAGACCGTGGAGGAAAATATCGGCCCTAGTTGGCTCATTGGGTAAATCAATAAGTAGTTTGCTTCCAAATCTCCTTGCCACTGCTGAATCTATCATCCATGGCAAATTTGTTGCACCAATCCAGATTACCCACGTATTGTCGGTGGTGTCATCCACGCCATCAGTTTGTGCAAGGAACTCTTGTACCGTGTCTGGACCTCCGCCATCATCCGATCGTGCTCGAAGCAAGCTTTCAACCTCGTCGAAAAACATTACACACGGTACATTTTCTCGGGCTACTTTAAAAGCAGCCCTAATTTTCTGTTCAGCAACTCCCCTCCACTTTGTGTTAATGTCAGCACTGGTGATGCAGAGAAAGCTAAATTCCAGTTCTGTAGCGATCGCTTTTCCGAATGTCGTTTTTCCTAACAAGAAATTACTTCATTATATGTATGTACATTCTATATTACATATTGGTTGAATAAATATATGCATATAATATAGCAACACACCTGTCCCAGGTGCACCGTAAAACAAAATATTACGGTCCATGGACGACGGGCCGGGGAATAAGTGTGGGTACTTGATTGGCCGCAGGATTTTTGTAATGATTTTCTTTTTCACAGCTTCGTATCCTGTAATGTCATTCCATCGTACAGCTTTTTTCATAGTCCCTGGCTTCATGACTTTCACCCGAAAGCTTTTTAGCAGCTCCTCCATCTCCTCATCCGTATCGTTGCCACAACATTTTAATTCAGAAATTGCTGACGCAATTGCGGATTTCCCTGATTTCGTAGGGTTTTCGGACGGTGGATCATCCTTCTTTTGTTCATCAGTAGTTGTGTAAGGTTGGGGTTGGTCAGGAAAATTGGTATCAACTTGAGGCGAGTTAAATTCCTTAATTTCATCGATAAAGATTTCATTCAGTTGAGTGGAAATCGTATTCAATTGATGTAAAATTGGTCGAACTTCTTCATCAATTTCATCCTTCAGCTCCGGGTGCTCCATTAAAACTACATAAGTATAAGAAATAAATGCATTAAATACTTCCTTCCATTGATACTTACAATTTTGGAGATAGCCACACGCCTCATTTGCACAAAAATATTTTTTGAGTAGGACCGACTCATGTGTGGTTTTACTTGTCACATTATGATGTAAACTACACACTCGAAGATATGCTGCTGCTTTAACAATGTAGTAATCGTCCTTAAATCTATCCATTATAAATTAAAATGCTGAAATTTGGGCGTGTGATTGCAATCAGTTGGAGATGTATGCTGATCTCGCTGTAAAAGCAATGGTAGATATATTGCAACTTCCATGCATCACTATCATGCATACGTCGGTTATGAATGAGATATCACTTTTCCCACTTATTGACCTATATTTATTTCAATGTTTTTCGTTCATGACTTCTGGCGAAATTCTTAGATTTATATACCAATTGGCTAGGAAATTAAAAACATAAAAACATACAAACAACAAACATATTAAAAACATAACGTGGATTTCTTACAATAATTTAGTGCAACAAATTTACGCAAAATTACACTAACTTTCTTCTAGGAGGATTTAATTAATTAAATAACTACACCTTTCATTAATTCATTATAAACTTAATTCATTGTCAAGATAAAGTAAAGAAGTTTTAGGTTTGACACCCAAAAATACGGAGATGAAGCTTGATTTGTCGTCTGAGGTTTTACAGACTTTTCTTATTGATAAAATAGAGCATTACATAAACAAACTGAAAAGTTTATGATCATAGATTTGGATTTTTACGGTCATATTGCATTAATATTTTGGGGTTTTATCTATCATTCATAGCTGGGGTCTGATCATCCAGCAGCCATTTTTACATAATGTGAAGCATTTTCATGCATGAAATCTTTCTCATTTTCACTGTCCAATGTTGCCCCATTATTTTGATTCGCGGAGTGGTGAGTTGGCAGAGAAAGGTATGACGTGGAACCAGTAACCTTGTAATTTTAGTGAAGGTTAAGTAAGAGAGGAGAATTGACCACCGAACCGAGAAGACTTGCTACTGAGAGGAGGTCTAATTTTAGTCAGTGGTGTTAATAATTAGTAGTGAATTAGTAGAAATAAATTGGCGTTGCTTTAATAGATATCGTCATTTGTTGTCTACGTATTATTGCACCATTTCTCAGCATAAAGTAGAAGTCTCCACCACTCACACGACGACGACGACTGCACCCACCAAAACCAGGATAAACTCTCTACGGGTAGTAGGAGCGGTTATCCAAAAGCCATGCATAATTTTGCTTCCTGCAACCGACGTCACCCGAGCTAATCTTTGTAATTTGATCCAATGTCGTTAAAATAATCTACTCACGAGACTTAGCTCAGTCCACTCTTCGTTGCCAAGAAGAATATTTTTTACTTCTGATACGTGCACATTATTCCGTTTTGAACAAAATTTAATATAAACAATAAAATGGCAAGTTCCAGCCAATTCCTCTCGAAATGATTTGAAATATGTAGGTGCGGCATGTCTGTTAGACATGAGAAGCGTTTTGAACACGAGAAAGTGCACGGTCATCCTTTTGTACCCATGGGTCAACCAGGTATTCAGCATTTGTTTCGACCACTGCACTATGGGCCAGGATCCCTAAATTGTGGCCAAAAATACAATTAAGCCTGAAATGAGGTCAAGTCTCAGGTTACCCCCATCAATTGGAAAGGTCTCGGCGGGAGGATTCAGATTATATATACTTTGTGGGGTCTGGGACCACCCCCTGATTATTTAGCGGCAGAAGAATATTTTGGGTTTTCGCAGTGTTGGCTCTCAATCTCCTCCTGTGTTAACCTGCACATACTTGAAAAACTAAAACTCAAAAATATTCATCGGTCTGTAAATACTCAGGGGGTGGTCCCAGACCCCACAAAGTATATATATTCTGAATCCTCCCGCCGAGACCTTTCCAACGATACCCCATTGATGGGGCTACGTGAGATTTGTCCTTATGACTTATGCCGTTAGAGCGTAAATATTTGCAAATGTCGAAAAAATAAAAATTCGCAAAGAATTTGGAAATATAACCCATTCAGATCATTCTTCATCAACAATGAAGAAAATCCATCCAAAATTGTTGAAATGCCAGCTATTTGAAAAAAGGTGAAAAATGAGTTAAGTTGGCACCTTACTCAGTCACCCGTCCTCTTAAGTGCTATCGCTCTGTTATGGGTGAGGCTGGGGCAAAATGAAACAAAATAAAACCGATGGTTGGTGTGAGTTGAGATTTTGCTAAAATTGGATATTTATTGTAAAGGAGAAGTAACTCGCCGAAGCTACTTCGCGATGCGTGTTTAGTGTAGTTTCTTGGACTAAGAATATTTCTGTGAGAATACTACTTGATGGTCGCATCTGGTCGCAGCAGAATATACTCCCGACAGTATTAGGTACCGAATAGTGAAAGTAATTGCTCAGATAGGGGCGGATGAAGGCGGATAGGTGAGAAGATGTCCAAGCCCTATCTCCTTAATGTATTATGAAAAGTTTGTGAATTTTTTTCTCTTGAATGACTTCAACGATGGGCTTTATATTTTGCATGGATAACAAGTTGGTTATGGAGAACACAAGGGCATACGTCTTTTACCAATTCTACGTAGTGCCTTAATGGCCACAATTTAGGGATCCTGGCCCATAGTGCACTGGCAAATGAGGTAAGAGTTTGTTGAATTTTTGTTGTGTACATCAGCATAGATTCAGATTTCGGGATACTACAAATGGTAAACTATAAAAATACATAAGTTACAAAAAATTTAAAAGAAAATGCAGCCAAAACTTGAAAAATTAAAACGAAAAAGAAGCATTAAATTTACAAAATTACTACGAAAATGCAGCCACAATTTGTACGAAAATGCCCCCACGATTAGTACGAAAAGGCTATCATAATTTCCTAAATTATTACAAAAAATGTAGCCAAATTCGAAAATTTGTTGTACTAATATATTAAAAAAATGTAGCCAAAATTTACAAAAGTAGCACGAAAATGCAGCCAGAATTAGTACGGAAATATTAAGATAATTAAATTTGTAGGAAGCAACCGCTCAACGCCAACAGGAGAAAGCTCGATCAGATGCATTGCGTGAATCGGAAAGATAGAAAGCAGACGAGGAGAAAGCTCGAGCGGATTCGCAGCGGAAGGAATATAAAAAGAAAGCAGGCGAGGAGAAAGCTCGATCAGATGCAAATGAGGTAAGTTGTTGAATTTTTGTGGACATTTGCAACGATTCAGATTTTTAGAAATTGCAGGTAAGACAATGTAATAAGAATTTCCGTAGAATTAATAGTAAAATCCAGCGATAGTACAAGTTTTGTGTAAAAATGTAGCCAAACTTTCCAAAATTATTACAAAAATCTAGCCATGATTCTCAAATATGTACAATTTTTTTCGTAAACCTACCCAAGATTTCGAAAATTAGTACGAAATGGCAATTTTATTTTGAAAAATTAGTAAGAAAATATTAAGCAACTTAAATTTTTAGGAACCAACAGCTCAACGCCTACAGGAAAAACTTGAAGCAGAGAGAAAGAAGTTGGAAGAGGAGAAAGCTCGAGAAGATGCCCAACGTGCGGAAGAGAGAATGAAGGCAGCCGAGGAAAAAGCTCAATCAGATGCCCTGCGGGAGATAGAGAGAAAGAAAGCAGATGACGCTCAACAGGTAGAGGAAGACCGGAATATTCCATATATTCATCAGGTAAAAATCTGTGACTTCGACCATGGTTGTTTATAAGATTCCGAAAAAGGCAAAATTGGCTTTCATAATCATAATTTTTATTGTTTATATTTTAAGGATGCATCAACCGCAAGAAACTTCCGCCCAGATAAACGTCCCCTTGAACTTTCGCCACGACGTAATATGGATGTTGAATATGAAAACTCTGAAAGAGAACCAGGACGGTCCCCACTCAGAAAAAAGTTGGCACAAGAAACTGTTTTGGACAAGAAATATTTTGATGATAAATTCGAGAAACTTAAGGACGAGATGAATAAGAAACTGGATGACTTTTCACGGACCAAGGATGCACAGAATTTCAGGACAGAGGGAACTCAGACACGTTCAGGTGATACCATCCCGAAAGTCAATGATATGGATCAATATAAGCATGCCATGGATGACTACGAATTACGAAGAAAATTGGCGAAAGTTGCCCGAACCGAAGCAGAATTACAAGAACAGCTTCCGCATTTGAAACCACAATATTCAAGTGAGGGTGCGAAGGAGATTGGAGAATCGGACGGCCTGTATTGTACTAAATGTCTGCCTGAAGAAAATCAAGACGTCACAATTCCTAATCAAACTTCTGCTGCCCGATTCACGCTCAGGCAGAACGAAGGAGAGGAAAAAGAGAGAACAGTTGCAGGGAGGGAGAAAATGGACAAGAAATTCTCAAATATGAAAGTATCAGTAATTCGACACGAGGAATCTAAATCTCATAAGGATAATGTTGAAAAACAACCGAGGAAGGAACTGGAAGACATACTTCCGGCGACTGATAAAGAGAAACCAGCTGCTATGGCATGTGGACGATCTGCATACCAGGCTATTAGATCACAGCAGAGCCAGCAAAGTTACATAGAATCTATCGCTAATAAAGCAGCGGACGGAATAGATGTGGGGGACATAAATCATAGTGAAGCCTTTGCGAAGAAATTTACTACAGCACTCCACACCGTCATAAAAGACAAATTAAAGGAGGTAATAAGTGAACCCCTTCCAGCCACCGGACTTCCGGCCCCCATTGCTGTCGTAGCAGATAAGGCCACCTTTGGAAGGAACACATACTTAATAACTGGCATTACAGCCCCGCTTCAGGGGAAAATGACAACGGCTGTTATTGATGTTGGAGTTGTTCCAGATCACACAGGTGCAGGTCTTGCCCAGCAACAAATACATAGTCTAAAAGAGTTCGTGAAGGAACTTCCATTCCGACTGATTGGTGCTAGCTATGATGGCGCATTCCATCACGACAATGTGCC